AAGTGCGGCATAAATCTATAAATATTAAAAAACCTCATAAAATTTTAGTACATTAGTTGGATTATTAGTTGGATGAAATTTTTTGAAACAAATTATATTTAATTTTAAAAATTTATTTTTGCAAGCATAAGATTTTATAATATAAATTAAATTTATAAAGTTAAATTTTATACTAGCATAATTTGTGTTGTGATATTTTTCATACAAAATAATATAAAAATAAATTTTTATATTAATAATTAATTAACATAAAAACATGTCCATGATATGTCAGTGTCTTATTTTTTCAATTATGTTGTGTCTCCGTGTTGTGTTGTGTCGTGTTTGTGTTCTCATATCAGTGACTATGCTTCATAGCATCAAATAAAGACCATTCCCTTGACTTCAACTTTAAATCTCATGATTACAATGAAGACAATTTAAACACTACTCTAAATCCAACTTGCAAAAATGAATTAAGGCTAATAAAATCTAAAGATGATATCTATATTCTCTACACTTTCCTATTACAAGACAATATCAACCAAAATTTGCAGAAAACAAAATTGACTTTACTATTAGAATGATTATGCTCCATCTTTATTTAATTACAACGCCTAATTTTCAAACAGCCCATGTATTCTCAAATATTGGAGTTACAATATTTCTTCATCAAAGACTTTAAAATGGCTAAATCATTGATATTTAACTGAAATGCATAAAATGCAACACACTGAACTTACTTAACAAGAAGCCCTTACCCCACTAAGTGGGGTCAGCTACATGAATCATTTTTCTACATTTTACTATGGAGAGTCATATTTTCATATAATTCTTAAAAAAACATTTTTTATACAATATGCCCAAGTCCCTTTAGGTTTGCCTCTACCTTTTATAATATAAGTCAAATCTAAAATATCTACTCTCCTAACCGGATCATTAGATGGTTGACCTTTAATGTGACGAAACTACAAAATGCATATTATTTCTTGCATGGCACAGTGTCCCACATCTTACATTTCATAATGAAGAACACAACTTCTAAGAAATTAAAAGGAAAAAAAAAATAATAATTAACAACATTTAAGCCATGATTAGTAAACAAAATCTAAGGAAAATAACATTTAACTTGTACGAAAAAAATCCTAAGAAATCACAACACATGAACTAAAGAGTACGTTGATGATCATCGAGTTTAAAAGGAGACCAAATTCAAAAAAATACACTAAATTAATGGGGCATTTCCATACATAGCACGCAATTCTAATGTATTTACATATCTCACACCTAAACTTCCATATTACACACACAACGCTCAAATCTTTAACATAAAAAAAAGTACTATTACCACTCTTTAATAATGAAATACACCTTTTCATGTATAGGTATAAAGCACCAAAGTGCTATGTATGTAAATATGAAAGTTTTGATGTGAGATATGTAGATACATCAAAATCGTGTGCTAGGTATGTAAATTTCCACAAGTTAAATTCTTCTTCTTTCTTTTACTGGATTTCTAATGATCAACTCTACAAAAATAAATCCATAAACAAAGGAACACTGAAGACACTTCTCTTCAATAAAAAATAATATTTCCAAAATCCATCATCAGTGGAAAAGATACAAACAAGGATCCTTAGAAATACATCGCTCAAAAAAATCCCTTTAACATACTTCAATAATCTAGAGGAAGGTTAACTTACTGCTAAAATATAATATAAACCTATCGTTATGCAGCCTTTTTGCACTCCACAAATGGAAACAGCAACAAACTTGTAAGACAGGTTGTTTAGCAAAAAGATTAAGCACAACTTGACAGGAAAAAGGCTAGACCAATTCAGCAAAAGCAAAGAAAAAATCATCAGAAAAAAGTTCCAACTTCAAAATTCAATAGAGTCGGTGCTTAGAAGAAAATAGATGAGCAATAAATTATGTCTACACAAACCTGATACATCTTCCCTTCCACGCAGCCATTGCAGAACCCTTTTGGCATCTAACATCTTCCCTTTGCTAACAAGCCACCTCGGAGACTCAGGCAGGAAGAATATTGTTAATGCCAAATATATCAGGGATGGGATGGAAAGAACTCCAAGCATCACTCTCCAATTTGGATTCGCCATAAGAGACATTGCAAATACCATACAATATGACATAAACATTCCCCCTGAGCCACAGAATTGTGGAAGGGTATTTAGCTGCCCTCTTATCTCAGGTGGGGATGTCTCAGAAATATACACCGGAATAAGGGTAACAGCCAAGCCAACTCCAAACCCATCAATGAGCCTGGCAAGGAGTAAGATGTAAACATTTGGAGACCACAGCATCACCAAGCCACTAATAAAATAAAATACTGAAGACAAGATAATCATGGGGCGCCTGCCACACCAATCTGAAATGGGTCCTGAGCATGTAGTAATTATTGTAGCGCCAATAAGTGACATAGCCACAATTAAACCTTCAACAGTAGGCTTTGTCTGTAATTCAAATTCTCTTTTAATGTAAATAACAGCTCCTGGATCAATAAAAATAGAATTTTGAGATTCAAAAGAGTTATCAGCGTCAGAAAAAAAAAGAGATTCCTAGCAGATAGAAAATATAATTTAGAAAATGCTAATTCATTTTCACTCATTATGTGTGAAAATTAAATCATTACATTAAAGGAGTTTTGATGAGGTTTGTAGAGTTTGAAATCAATGAGCAATTTACATATTACAGAATAAACCAGATTGCTGACTACATCCAACCAAATTATGGAATAAACCAGTTTCAACATTTCCAAAACATATTTTATAACTTCAAGCAACCAAATGAGCCATAAAATTTCCAATATGACATAGGAAGAAAGTAAGATCATACCTGCAATTGTAGCATTGTCCCAACCCTGCAACAGGTTTCCAATAGTGGCTGCTATGGCAATAAAAACAGCCCCGTCCATCTCTTCAGCAAGGAACAGATACGATTATGAAAAGAACAGCTTTCTGTCACACAATCGCATACCAGGAAACATAAAAACTTGCAAGATTATCATAACGCAGCCATCAAAGAAGAATCTAAAAAGTCGGAACAAATCAAATAGAGCGCTTACCGTCGATAGGAATTCAAATAAAAGTATATCCGTTCAATTGACCGATGAATAACAAACCCATGTAAGCCGGCCAAATAGGCCTAGAAAAACATAGGATCAGTCAGTATAATCCTGTAATAATTAGAAATGTGCAATCGCCGCCGAAGAACGAAATACAAACGAAACACATGAAAGGAAGCTATATGAATAATCTTTAGCCCACTCAATCTGAATCCAACACTTAAAAATCCCTTTCTCCCCTGCCTAATACCATCGCTCACACAGCAAAATACATAGAACAGGGGTTTTCCCGATTGAAACGAATCAGGATGAAGATTTTCCGATTAGAGAATAAAAACATCTCAAATTTAACTAATAATCATGAGCCCACGTGTTCTTTAAGATAATCAAAGTTCATCTTGCCCGAACGCCACCGGTCCCCTTTCACTGTGGAATCTCGAGGCTTTCTGCAACAGGAAAGAGCGAAAAACGGAGTGAAATATCACTTGGAACTCGTAAACATAGCTGTCAAACGAGAAACCTTTCCATTCATAGCAATGAGATTCAAAGATTGTCAATGGAGACAACGGCTTCAAAAAAATGGGCGATGGGTGATAAAATATGAGAGGACAGAGATGAGGAGAGAGAAAAGAAGAAAGGTAGAGTGAGAGTGAGAGATCGGTTAGCAATGTGGCACTGAACCTAGGGAATCGCGAGAAAAAGGTTTCTCAGGAATCGCGACAAGAAAACAATAGTTATAATAGTACGACACATAAAGACGAGATCCGATGAATATTTTTTGTACTATATGTTGGCAAAGCAATATTTTGAACATTATATAAAAATGTTATTATAGATGCTCTATTTGATCTTGAGTGCAACTTGGCCAAAATGTCCCTCCAAATAATTCATTTATAGTCATCCAAGGCTTCTTGGACTAAGGTTTCGTTTGAGGATGCGAGAAAGTTTTGAAGGCTGTACAAAATTTCATTTGATGAAACAGGGGGAGATGAGCGTCTTTGGTTGGAATGATAAATTCCACTATTTTTTATCGCCACTCCTCTCCTCACGTGACGAACGCAATTTTTCAAAAATGATTAGCGAGCATCATCGTTGTTACAAATGAAATAGAAAAGGGCTTGATCAATTCACCCTAAAATAACACAACCAAATGCATGCAGTGAACTCAATTATGAATGCTCCCAAACTAATGACATCGTCATAATGTTATAGGCTGATAGAAGCATTGTTGAAGAAAAACTACACAAGATGAAGTTTTAAGCAAAAATAATCACCATGAAAAGGTGTTACAAAAGAATTTTAATAGCAGGCGGAACTTAATTGCTTATGACATGTACGGTATCTCAAGTCAACTCGTCTAAAAATAAGAGTAGCAATTAAATATTAAAAAAGAATATTTTTCTTAAATATTTAAGTCACACATTTATCTTCATTTTTTCTTTGTTTGACATGCTTATCATCATTTCTTATTCTCTTTTGTTTGTAAGAAGCCATAAAAAAACAAGATCAACATAAAAAAAACGTTCACTGCGTATGGAGCATATCACAAACAAGCAAAGAATTTTCACAAGAAATTGACCCAAACAACAAAAGAATTTCTGCAAAAATGGAATGCACCAAAGAGTTTATAATGCAACAAAAAAACCAACTTAAAGTGTAAATGATGGTGAAGAAAAGATAACCTTTGGAACATGTCCTGTGAGTAACATCAATGGTGCAAGTTCTTTCTATTTTCCCAGAATCAGTGATTCAAGGTGGAGTGCTCCTGCTGCTGCAACACGAAGAATCTTATCATATACTCTGATACTAGAGTATGGAATGTATTACTTTAATAACACTTATTCCAAAGAGATTTATAAGGTGGAAGCACTAAATATGTTCAAGATTCCATCTTTGGAATCTTACAAAGGTGAATCTAACTCCGCTGACAATATAGCGTGATTTGATTTAGTAGTTTTTCTCCTAAGAATAAATAATGTTTTGAAGTGTTCTTTTAAAGAGTAAATGCATACGATTTAACAACCTATCATTTAAAAGCAATTACTAGTTTTTGTCAAATTCAAGTGTTCGTTCAATGCAAAATTCTCTGAAAATTTAGATCTGAAAAATTTGTACTGAACTAAAAGGTTAGTGTTGAAGTTAGTGCTATTATCTGAAAATATAGCTTGTTGTGTTAATCGGTGCATATTATATTACAACGAACATGCAAACGAGACGAAATATAGATTTTTTAGTGTTGATAAATTCAAATCAACAAGGAAAAAGAGTAGAAATCAGATAAATATTCCTTGCAAATGTCTATTTTATTTTTCTCTCATGCCACGGCTTCAACGATTGTATGCTTCCCTGCACACAACTCCTCACATAAAATTGTATAATACCATATTTGTTGGAGTTAATACAATGACTTATCCTTCATCTTGTGAAGCTTAGAAACACTTCAATCACACTTATCTTGATTTTGCAAAGGTAAGCACGCACGCTGCAAAAACCTATCCATGTTGGCAGTTATTATCAGACCATATAATTCGCCCCCTCATATGTGTATGACCATGTCGTTCTTATTTCTAATGTTGATCATACAATTCACATAGCCTAAAGGGTAAAATTAACATGTATTTTTAGCATCTTATAGATGAGTTATATGTATTATGGGAAATCAGTGTGTTGACTTATGATATTGCAACGAAACCAAATTTCACCTTAAGCTGCTCTTATGTGGACTATCAATGATTTTATGGCTTATGGGATGCTATCTAATTGGAGCACAACCGAGAAATTGGCATGTCCCTACTGTATGGACATGTTCGAAGCATTCACTTTGAAGAATGGAAGAAAAAAATTATTGGTTTGATTGTCATCGAAGGTTCTTAGCACATGATCACCCATTCTGGGAGGAATAAAGATGCATTTTTCAGAAATTTAGTTAAAAGATAAGTTCACTCTTAAGAATAAGTGGAAGTGATATATTACAGATGATCAGTCAAGTGCCAAAAACCACTAAGAGACCGGAATTAGCCTCTACATCTTCCTAATTTTGGTGATACATATAATTGAATGAATCATAGTATATTTTAGGATCTTCCATACTGGAGAACCAATCTGATTAGGCATAATATAGATTTTATGCATATTGAGAATTTTTTTTTTTTGATAATATATTTAATATTATTTTGGATATCAAGGGAAAAACAAAAGACATCGTCAAAGCAAGAATGGGCTTGAATGAGTATTGTAAGAGGAGAGGGTTGAAACTATGAGAGACAAATATAGATAAAATAATAAAGGCCAAAACTACATATTAAGCTAGCATTGGATGAACAAAAACCAATTTTTGAGTGGATGCATTCTTTGAAGTTTCCAAGTGGTTGTGCTTCTAACATGAGCTGATGTTTTGATATCGGGATGGGGAAAATATTTAATACGAAGAGTCATGATTGCCATATTTTTATGCAGTGCTTATTACTTATTGCATTCAATGTCCTGCCAAAGTCGGTACTTGGTCCATTGATCGAAATCAGTACATTTTTCAAGGACTTGTATGCAGGCACTATGAATGTTGAATCTCTGAGATGTCTAGATGTGAGTCCGTTATTGCTATGCAAGCTCGAGCAGATATTTCCTCTCAATTTTTTTGACTCAATGGAACATCAGCCTATACAACTATTATGAGGTCATATTTAGGAGTCAAATGAAATACTGATGGATGCATCTCGTTGAGAGGTATATCTTCTATTTTCAAATGAGCCACAATTTTATTTTTTTTAAATCACTCAATCGTGCAAATTTCTAAATAAAATAAAAAAGATTGTTATGAATAAAGAACATACCTATTACATTAGACAATTAATTTATATTCTTATTACCTCGATCAAGAGCAACATACAAATGAAATTGTTGGTGAGATGCATTCGTAAATAGAATTATCCATATTCCAGATATCTGGTGAACCATTAGGTAGGCATGTTACGTGTTACCTCAATGATAGGAGCTTTAAATAGATGCATTGTCTATTCTACTAAACTACGATGAAGCACAACCCTTCCTACAAGAAATTTAAATTCAATCAAAAATTTTCTCAGTCATTATTCAGAATGCTCTACCAATTAACTCAGGCATACAAATAAAAATGATGTCCCTAGGTTATTTACTAAGAGCTTGAACATCGGGGATGAATCTCTTGTAAGCAAGAAGATCGAAGAAGAATTTTGAAAATGGTTTAAATTACACATACATTAAAGTAACTTTTCAATTCATGGGTACATGTATTCTTCATGAAGAAGAATTTTGAAAATGGTTTAAATTACACATACATTAAAGTAACTTTTCAATTCATGGGTACATGTATTCTTCATAGTAAAACTAATTATGCTTTGGAACTTCTAGGTTCATGATATAAGCAATGGAGTCACAGACCAGGGCTTATTAGATCTTGCTTGGGGACCTAATCGTAGTGTCAAGACATGATAAATATTTAAAGTGAACAATTAAAAATTTTACAAGAGATCCTGGTGTGAAGGAAAGTAGAATTATAATTTTGGTGTTTTGTTAGATAAAATACACACAGATAACAAGATTAGTTATTACGATATACTAATCAAAGTAGCTCAATTGCAATATCTAGGCCATGCTGAATGCAATTTCTACATTTTTAACTATGAGTGGTTTGATTATGTTCATAATCATGAAAAATGGACACTCGACTTGTATGATATTTCTGAAGTTAAAATGAATACTAGACATGCAAAGTATTATGGCATGTCAATTGGTCAAGTTTATTATCTTCGATAACCTGGCTGAGTAAGGGATAAACTTGATTGGGTTGTTGTATTGAAAAACAGACCATGAAAAACAATTGGGATGCAAAATGTTATCGAGCCTATTTAGCTATGTTCCAGAGGATGCATGACAGTAAGGCATCATATGGATATCAGCATGACTCAGACTTGGACTGACTCCGACCACTCGAGTTGTTATATAGACCTACCTTTAAGTATACGCAAGGGGACTTCTATTATGGAGCATGCCTTAGGAGGTTAGCTTGATCTCAGCATAGCCTTAGACGATAGGGGTATGGTTGTCACTTTTTGTACTGTGACAGAGCAGAGACGATATGATATACGAGATTACAGTATTTTTATGGATTCAGGATATTGATGGGACATTTTCAACATGTATTCAGTTGCACCACATTTCAGTCAAAATCAACAAAGATCACCTTTTGGTTTCAACACGTGTTTTTGGACGGCCACATTTGTGTGATCGACATAAAACCACTTGACCCGATGTTGGTCCATATTGTAACAAATAAAGAATGATACAAAACATATATATGTGTAAAATAAAATAACACGTGAAATAATGACAATAAAATTTGCAAGGTCAAGAAAATTTAAAACCAAAGGAAAAGAAGATCAAATCCTGAGGATCGATAGATGATAGCCGACCCCCTCAAAATCAAATCTCGAGGATACATAGATGATAGTCGATCACCTCTAAATCAAATTATGAGGATCGACAGATGATAGTTGACCACCTCAAAGTCAAATCTTGAGGATCGACAGATGATAGCTGACCATCTCTAAATCAAAATTCTGAGGATCGGCAGATGATAGCCAACCACCTCAAAATCAAATCCTGACGATCCGCAGATGATAGCCGACCACCTTAAGATCAAATTTTGAGGATCA